CCAGGCAGAGACGCCTGGCAGAAAGACCTGGCAGAGAGATGGTGGCAGTGGACCAAGAGGCACGAGTGGGGTGCACCTAGGTGTACCTATCGGCAGAGCTAAAAGAGCTCTGGAACACTTGCTTGACCAGGGCAGAGGCCAGGTCAACAGGCCAAGGGCCAGAGAGGCGAGCCCGGGGGCATGGCAGAGGGGCGACTGTCCTTTTCCAAGAATTGTATCCTGAGAGTGTTCCTGGACCTCAGTTGTAACCTGTTACTTCCCTAATAAACCCTATAATGGTAAGTATTGTCTTGAGTTCTGTGTGGCCATTGCCATGCATTATTAAACCCAGCAGACAAGCAGTGAGTGCCACGGGAGGGATGGTTGGTATAAAGGCTGAAGGGGGATGGCATGTCTGGCCTCGCAGGAATAAGCCCTGGGTTGCTGATGGTGATTCTGCCTTCCCCTTGTGAAGCTGGAGGAGGTCCGAGGATGCCACCCCCATGCCCTTTTTGCAGAAACCCAATGGGGGTCATATAGCCACTTAATTTTGTAGACTGCAGCGCAGTCGATTGTTGTCTGGAAGCTACTGTTCAGTTAGGCTAGAGTCTTTGCCACCTCTACTCACCAAAGGGTAGCTCTTCAAACATATTTAGGCAATGATAGAATATTAAAATGTCTTTCTAGTACGTCTTGGGAAGCGTGTGCTCTAGCAACGAATGCAGTCCTGGAATCGTACACTCAGATTCGAGATGCCTTCGAAAATAGTGCTGAAGACCAGCCACAAAAAGGAGATGCCAAAAGGGAAGGCGAAAACATCTCCAGCAAAATGCAAACAGTAGCACATGTATTTATGTGGGTTATGTGGGATGATATATTGCAGCATTTTCAGACAAGACAAGCTCTCCAAGATTGAGAAGCAAATTTAAAGACATGCACAGATTGCTACCAGTCATTAACAGAGTATTTACATAACGAAGATTTTGAAAGTTTTGAAAACAAATTCTGCCAACTGCTGATTATTTAGCAGTTCACTATCTCAGAAGCATCAGAAAGAAACCAGGAAATGATGTAAATGTTCCAGAACTAGCACTGAGTGCCAGAGATCAATTTCATGTAACCACATATGGCACCATCACTGACACTCGTTGAGTCTTGCATGGAAAGGGTGAAAGGTTATGAAGTTCTTTCAAATACGTTTTCCTTCTTAAAAGTGTACATATAGCTGATGAAGAATGCATGAAGGTGTGCAAGAAATTAGTGCAGGCTGGTCCGGACGAGTGAGGTACTGAAATACAAACCTCGATGGAGAAGCGTGACCGTTTCATTCTTAGATGAGAACTAAGTTTACAAATGCAGGGAAGACAAATTTCAGAAATGTGGGCACGTATGATTCCGTATTAGAAGATAAACTACAACGTGTATTTCCCAGTGTTGAAAGTGCGTGGTGCCTCTTCCTGAGTTTGATGATCACAAACTGAACAACAGAACGCTCATCTTCATCCCTAAAGAGACTGGAAAACCTCAGGGTCCAAGAAGGTTCAAGAAAGACCCGATTCGTCACCCTTATGACGTATGGGCACGGATACTGTTCAGCAGCTTGACTTGTGAGCAAATCGTCGAATTTGTAAGAGCAAAGAATAGAGAGGGATGTTTTTAATTATAACGTGGTAGTGTGAAGGTCCATCTGAAAATAAAACAGTGATCTGTTGTAGTGTTTGTTTTCTGATCATTACATTTTCTCTCTGACAACTTTTCATTTCTTCATTTGTAATGAGAGCGTTGATTATGAAACAAGCATCAGAGGGATGAACGTTGAAAGCAGCCTTCGTGAAAGTCCGTTGTGAATCAACAGCCTTTTACATCGATTGTTGAAACAACTAAGTTCACGGAGTCATTTTCTTTGTTCCAGAAAATGTGGAATATGTAAAATCTTAGTTCCCCGCATCCACTAAAATTTTACAGTTCATTTCCTTCACTAAAACGGCATACACCACTTTTGCGTTCAGTTACTAATGTCATAATCCCATTTTTAAGAAGTAACATCATGACTAGCTAAGAGACACACGCACATACGGTGTGTACACCCCGAGCACTAGTGGTGCAATGGTGAGGGCGCACACTGCTGGGGGTTTTATAGCTGTAATTCACCTAACGCACCGACTGTGAGCACGCACAGGAGTGGGCACCCCAGACTATCAAAGTTTAATCCAGCCCTGGCCTCACCCCCAAACCGCCACCGGGCCCGAAGAAGCGGGTCCCGGACTCGGCGCACCCGGCCCACACCGCAGCGGGAGGGCTGCCCAGGTCGAACGTGCGCCCCAAGCGACTCTCCCCGGCCGAGCGCAGCGACCTGCAGCCGGCTCCCTGCCAGGCCGAGCCGGGGTCCCAGTCCCCGGCAGCCCCGACTGTGGGCCCTCCCCACCCTCCGCGGCCCGCAGCCCCGCGTCACCTCGAAACCCAGCCACGAGTAGGGGGACAGCACGTCGTAGAAGAGCTCCAGCGTCCGCCGCACGGGAGCCATGCTGCGCCCCTCCCGCGTCAAAGGCCACTCCCCGAGGGC